GRMMAARSYTTTWWTATAGCTCCAGTTTTAATGAACTCCCAAGAGATGTACAAAATACAATTATACCAAATGAAGCTGGTATACAAATTAACAAATGAATCGTGGATGCAAAATATAAATAATTTCTAAAAATGAAACTATGTGACACATGTAAGCACTTCTGAAAATGAAAGTGCGTGACATCCAGCGTGACATTTGGAGTGAGCGTGACATCGTAGGATATTGTGTATAATGAAATTCATATCACGCTGTTGTGATTATTATCAATTGGCATCATCAAACCACGAAATTGTCTCGTACTCAGTAAGACGCTTTCCTTTCATCCGTCTTACTGRTGCATTTTGATGTAAATGGCGCCTTTTGTCGAGAGTTTTCAGAAGTTGCCATTAGCGGGAAAAATTCACCTGGAGAAGGAAAATTAATTTTCTTCGTGGATCTTCTTGCTTGCACTTTAGACTAAGAAAGGGCCTGTTTCGTCCTTTGGACCGAATATTCTTAGATTTGTAGCAAGAATGAACATAGACTAATGTCTTTTTTACATTAAATAATATTTATTCATGCAGTGTTTGTGTCTCAATCTGGACAGCTGTGAGCTATTTTATTGGTTTATAGTGCACAATTACAGCTGTAATCATAAAGCATACGGCTAAATACATCTATTCAAATTACTGCTTGTCGATTGATAGCCGAGAAAGGTTTCTTGAGCTTCAAGTACTCTATTGTGACAAACCTAAGCAATATGAAGACTGCTTACTTAAATAACTTATATCATCGACTCTTAAGTCACTAAAGTTAAAAAAAAGTAAGCAAGCWTCGAAATAATTCATTATCAAGCTCAAAAACATTACAATGGTCAGGATACGAAAATATCCCCTACAATACTACAAATGGTTTATATTTACATATCACTATTAAAAACCTTACCGACAAAGTACCATATAAAATACGAAAAAGTATAATAATTTTTATACAAAACGATGCCACAAAACAGCGTGTTGCTGCTKTGTTGCTGCTTATGGTACTTAGATTCTTGTGAGGCAATTAACCTTAATTTTTCACCCCAAAGATTGGTATTGCTATTACTTAACCTATTAACAAAACAACTACAAAAAGATAACTTACCGTTGTTACTGATTGTTTTGTAAGTCGAGCTAAATGCTCATTTAAACGCAGATCGCCCAACATGTTCACGAACGAATTTTTGGGTGCCCAATATCCGAGCTCTGTGATTAACGAAGGGCACCAATGAATTACAAAGCTTCATGCTTTTGATTCTGCATATATTTTATTTTTGCACGTATAGAGCACCCGAGCATGTCCTTTTAATAATGATGTCATGAACTGCAGGGGTCACGCAATCATTTGGCGGTATTCTTCGTTTGCACGTTACGTCATAGATCCAAAAAAAATTAATTTAAACCTAATTTCCCATGAAATCGATTTTACTCTAAAATATAGTTTAGAAAACTATRTTTCGAGATAATTTTTGAACTTRTATGCGAATAATTTGATGCACAACGTGTTTTATTTGGTAGCCAAAGTCATGTCACACAACGCCAGGTCACGGCCTGAAAAGCCGTAAAAATCATCTAAAATTATTCTAAATCGTAGTTTTTTGTTTTAATATAGATTTAGAATTGCTACATGTAGTGAAAATAAGGTATATTTGYTACTTTGTACCCGAAATTATGTTCATAACAGTTAGCCGCCTTTTCTGGTGGACAGACAGATGACCCACCAGACGGTGCCGCCATACATTTCTTTGTAAAGATCGGCATATAAAATTGCTTATAAACTTGCAACAAAAGCTCGGTTCGACTCGAAATTTCACTGATTTACAGAATTTTAATACGTCCATTATGTGCAAGTACCGAAATTTTTTCTTTGATTTTAGAACTCTCTAAAAATGTTGGTGCCGTGAAGCAATATAACATGATCACATTCCTTCTAAAAAAATAGCCTATAAAAATTGCTTATATCTTGGCAAATAAAACTCGGCGAAGGATTTTTCAGAGATACAGAGTTTTACTCACTCTTTCACATGGATTACTTGAATTTTSTTTATGACTTATTCTATGGAAAATTTATTTTTCCATGACGTACGTGAAAACGAAGAATTGAAATGAACTCACTTTATACGTTCAAGGAAAAGACTCAGGGCTGCTCGCATTATTTTTCCTCGTGGAATTTTATATAGTTTATTGTTGTGCAGACTCTCTGACTTTGAGGGGTTTTCCCTTATCACGAATGAAAATTTTGCCGTGCAGGATTTTTTTCTCAAAATCTTCCAGCCCTCCCACCTCAAAATTTTAATGGATCGTCCCTTAGCTGTTGTACATTATACAACGGTGTTGTTGATCACTTGGAGTTCGACTTTAATTATTGATGGCAAAGCTCAAACCTGCTTTAATGAACTAAACGATCTTAATCACCTGGTGTCTAGTTATTTACATAAACCTTTTGAAATGAAGKCTATCACCAAATAATCTAAAAGATTGAAACAGCTGCTGGCAAATAGTTAATGTAAAGTAAAGAAAAAGGCATATACTGCATGTATTACCGGTTGAAATCTAAAAAAGGAAGAAAAAAAAATGAATGTCATTAAATTGTTTGAAGTGAAGATGGAAGTCCTCCAATTAAAAAACAAAAAAAAAAAACGAAACAAAATTAAAGACAAAAACAAAGAACAAACAAAAAGACAAGACAAAATGGTGGCTACTATATTAGCCATATTAGCTAGTACTTTTGAATACGCGTCTTCTGAAAGTAGTATACTCTTCAATACACTTTTCTGAAAGTAGGATAAAAATACAACGGCTTCTGGAGTAAGATATACTCTTAAGATACGGTCTTTGGAACTAGTAGGATACTTTTAAATACAGTCTTTGCCAAAGAAGGATACTGTTAAATATTGTATTTTGAAAATAGRTTAAGCCTTTTTGAACTTGTCTTTTTCGGACACAATCYATTGCGAGGTGTGTTATATGAGTGAATACCCTGAAGCACTGAACAAAAGTCTTGAAATGCGACAAAGGGTAGTTTTGAATTCTCTCAGATCTTCCTAASCGAYAAATTCAAAGGAGATGATAGGAATAAGAAAGGTTAGGTCGTGGACTGGCAGTGAACATAATTTATGTTTAATAGAACACCCTGTAATTGCACAGGTCATTTTCGTGTTTTCTTAATGACAATTTTTTGCGAACCCTCCTCCCCTCGATCCTGATAGTACCCTTCAGGCTTTCTCCTATTTTGTGTCTCTCTGTATGACCATATATATTGGCCATATGCATGGTGTGATTCTGTAATTTCCGATCGACGACCGCCATTTTGAAAAGGAGTCGGCCAAGGCGGACCTGGGGGCCAGGTTGCTTGCGGCCAAGAATGGATACATCGTTTTCTCCCATAAGCCGTACCATGCAGGCACCGCGGARCCGAAATGGTTTTGGCCGCCATTTTGAAAAATTCGTCTAATTCACCTGGCGCTTCTCGAAAGTTGCCCACCCCCCCTCCCTCCCCCCCACAATAGAACTTATGCTCCGCGGTGCCTTGTCGTAGATGGTTCCAGACAATGAATTCACTTCGCTAGATTCACTTTAATGATATAAACTAGCTTCTCGATTTTATCTCTCACATACTCGTACAGTAGTTCCGATCAACTCACATGCGCTCTAACGTTTCCACAATACTCAAAATGTTTACATTTCATTACGTCACTGTGACTTCGTTATTTATTAACTAGGTACAATCGTTATTTATTAACTAGGTACAATCACTTCCAATTACTAAGTAAAATCGCTTACCACAGCCTGCGTACGCTCCATAAAACTGTCATCAAATCAACATCCTATATCAATATGGCGTTGTTTGTTCTGAAGTTAGACAATGCACCATGATTTTGTATTTCAGWAAAGGTCTATGGGGAAACCAAATTTTACCTGTGGACTACGAGCTAATAGCCCATGAGGCCGAGTCCGCGAGGCCGAATGGGCTATTAGCTCGTAGTCCATGAGGCCGAGAGGTCTAATTGTTTTAG